TTTCATTTTTTTCCAGGTATCTTTGATCTCTGTTTTGATGTCATCATTGACCCAGGAGTTATTAGCATCATGCTGTTTAGTGTCCATGTCTTTGTGGGTTTTGGGGGGACTTTGTTGGTGTCAATGTTTATTTTTATTCCACTGTGGTCCGAGAAGGTGCATGGTAGAATTTCAGTCCTTTTAAATTTGCTTATACTTGATTTGTGTCCAATTATGTGGTCGATCTTAGAATATGTTCCATGTGGTGATGAGTAGAATGTGTATTCTGTGGTCTTTGGATGGAGTGTTCTATAGGTATCAATTAAGTCCATTTGGTCCAGAGTCTCATTGAGGTTCCGGATCTCCTTGCTGATTTTTTGTCCTGATGATCTGTCTAAGGTTGTGAGTGGTGTATTAAAGTCCCCAGTTATTATGGTGTTAGAGTCAATGTCTTTCTTTAGTTTTCCTAGAAGTTGCTTTATGAATGTTGGTGCGCCTATGTTGGGTGCATATATGTTTAGGATAGATATTTCTTGTTGATGGAGTGAACCTTTTATCATTATGTAGTGGCCCTCTGTATCTTTTTTAATTTTTGATAGCTTAAATGGTATTTTGTCTGAAATTAGGATCGCGACTCCTCCTTTCTTTTGTGTTCCATTCGCCTGAAAATTTGTTTCCCATCCTCTTACTTTGAGTCTGTGTATGTCCTTTCTAGTGAGATGGGTCTCTTGAAGGCAGTATATTGTTGCCTGGTGATATTTTATCCATTTTGTCATTCTATGTCTTTTCAGTGGTGCGTTTAGTCCATTCACATTCAGACTAATTATTGAAATGTGAGAGTTCATCACTATCATGGAGTTCTTATTGAGTTATTGTTCTTCCACTTGGTTTTTTCTTTTTTCTTTTTCTTTTTTTTTTTTTTGTCTTTCTTTTGCTTTTGGGGTTGGTTCGTGTATATTTTATTCTTTTCCCTGTACTCTTGTGAAGAACGTTGTTCTTTTTTCCTTTTCTTCTGTGTTTAGTACTTTCTTAAGTGTTTCATGTAAAGATGGTTTTGTGGCTGCATAAGTTCTTAGGGATTGGATATCTGGGAAAGATTTTAATTCTCCCTCACTGATGAAGCTTAGCTTGGCTGGGTAGGTTATTCTTGATTGAAATTGTTTATCCTTTAGGACTTTGAAGATAGGGCTCCAAGCTCTCCTAACCTGCAGGGTTTCTGCAGATAAATCTGCTGCTATTCTGATTGGTCTTCCATGGTGGGTGATCTGGCCTTTTTCTCTTGCTGCCTTTAGGATTTTTTCTTTTGTGCCTACTTTATTTAAGCGAATTATTATGTGTCTAGGAGTTGATCTTCTCATTTGTTGTCTTGCGGGGGTTCTCTGAATCTCTTGTGTTTGAATTTTTGTATCACTGATTAGATGAGGGAAATTTTCTTGAATGATCTCGTGGAAAGTTTGTTCCAATGTGGTCTCTGTTTCTCTTTCTGCCTCAGGGAGTCCGATTATTCTTAGGTTAGGCCTCTTGAGGTAGTCACTCATCTCTTGAAGGTTTTGTTCTGTCTTTTTTTAGCTTATTTTCTGTGTTTTTAAGAGTTTGGGTTATTTCTATATTTTGGTCCTCAAGCTCTGAGATTCTTTCTTCTGCTTGGGTAATTCTGCTTTCCATGCTTATCAATTTGTTATTTATTTCATTCACAGTATTCTTTATTACTGTTATCTCAGATATCAGCTCCTTCCTAGTTTCTTCTTGTGTCTCCTCAATTCTTTTTAGTCTCTCCATTATGGTTTTGATATCTACATTTGCATTTTGAGACCCTTCATTCTGGGGACTTTTCATTGTTTGTATTCCAAAGTCAATTTTCTCAGTGTCTGCTCTCCCAGGCGTCTGGGAGAGACCCATACTCTTCTTTTGGTTTTTCTTCATTTCTGTAGATTTTTCTCCCTTTACCCCTTTCCCTCCCCCTCTTCAATTCTGTTTTTGAGGGAAGGTGGGGTTGCTTTTATTTCTCTTCTGCAATGACCTGTTCTTCCTTATGAGGGTCTTCTGGTTTTGTTCACTTTTCCCTCTGCTTTACAGTCTGTCTATTCAGCAGTTTGCAGTCTTGGTCCGTTCAGAGAATCTCACCAGTTCACCTATGCCGTCGCCATCTTGCCCCGTCTCTTCTCGTGTGTTTTATTTCATTCTTACAATGTCTTTGGTCACACACTTGCTTATTTATTCCCGCAGTTGCTTCAGCCTCCATCCAACTTCCAATGGCTCTCAAAGTGGAGAACAAACTTCTTAATGGAGCTTTGGACAAGTTACTTAATCTCTTCCCTCTTCATCAGTGACTTAAATAAGGCAGACGTCTATTTATCTCTCACATAACCAAATGAGTATAAGCGGTCCATGACAGCAAGATGCCTTCAGGATGAGGACCCAGCTCCTCTCTCAGCAGATACTTCTTACACAACAAAGCGGAGGTTGACTGTCCTGGAGTCACACTGACCTTATAGTTCATTGTCAACGGCTTGTGTTCAGCCTCTCAAGTCCAAGGACTTGTCCAGGTGCCATGACGACTGGACACCACTAGGAACCGCCAGTGACCGTGATGGCATTAGTGAGGTTGCCCATCCAAGGGCAGGGCAGGAAGAGCTTCCTTGTCACTCTCTTTGGGTTATAAGAAACAGGAATCCACTAAAAGTGGCTTACACACACACACACACACACACACTTTTTAAAGTTGACTGTATAAAATATAAGGGCATCTTACAGAACTCAAAGAGCACACAGGCCTTGAGAAGTCCTGAAAACAAGGTCAGGCATGGTGGTTCATGCCTGTAATCCCAGCACTTTGGGAGGCCAAGGTGGGAGAATTGCTTGAGCCCAGGAGCTTGAGAGCAGCCTAGACAACATAGTGAGACCTTGTCTCTACCAAAAATAAAAAAATTAGCCCGGTGTGGTGGCAAGTACCTGTAGTCCCAGCTACATGAGAGGCTGAGGCAGGAGGTTTGCCTGAGCACAAAAGGTTGATGCTGCAGTGAGCTGAGATCATGCCACTGCACTCCAGCCCGGGCAACAGAGTGAGACCCCGAGTCAAAAAAAAGAGTTGCTGAAAACAGGAGCTGGGAAGCCACCGGTGCCTGCCTGTCTTTTTCCCTGGAACCTGCTTCTCACTACACCTGTCTAGTCTCACTCTCTTCCTCCAGACTATCTTTCATAGCAGCATCGTGCATGTGGAAAAGCTGGCATCACCTATCCCAAGTTTATATGTCCTCACTTCAGGCAGCCACAGCATCCCTAAAACTCCACATTCCAGGGAGAAGGCTTGGGTCAGAGCAGGGGTGGGGTAAAGACGAGGCTTGTGGGCAACCTGGAGGCCAGGAAGGAAGCAGACATCACGGCTCAAGAAACAACTCTAAAGCCCAAGGCAGAAGTAGGTTGTGTCCTTTTCACGGATAGAGAAACTGAGGCATGGAAGGATCGAGGCTGGGTTCAGATCTCTGCCTTTGCGTCAGTGCTGGGTACCCTGGACCTGATGTCTGACATCTGCAGGAAGTGGGACTTCTCTGCTTTGTCCCACAGCCAGCTCGAAGTGCTAGCTGGCCAGGGTCTGGGCCTTCTGAGGATGGACTCATGCCAAGAGCCCCAGGACAAAAGCATCCAAAGTGAACCTCTGGAAGGGCTCAGGCTCAGGGATCAGCACACTGTCCTGGGTCAGGCCTCTCGTACGAGGCCCCCACAGTGCTGACACCTGGTGCACCTGGATTGGGATACCAGTCTCCAAAGCCTGTTCTCTTTCTCCCAGGCAACAAGCCCCTGCAAACTCCCAATGTCCCTAAGATATGGGTGCTTTTGGATTCATATTCGGAGCAACTCGTTCAGGGCCACACAGCTGCGCCAGGAAGTGGCCCCAGTTCTGTGCCTGGTGCCCAAGAGCCTCTGGCAACCTTCCTGCTCTCTGCTTCACTTCCTCATCTGTCAGATGGGAATGGCATTGCCCGTCTCACACAGATACTGCAGGGAAGAAACAGAGACAGAGAGGAAGTGCCTGGGAAACACAAGCAGCCCCTGCCCTTGGAAATGGTTGGTGTTGCTGTCACCACCCTCAGCCCCAGGCTCTGTTGAGCTGCACGGCTTAGAGCCCTGGAGGTCCCCCCACTACCCCCAGCAGCAGGGGGCCAGTCTGTCTTCATCTTGAGCAAGGCTGGCACACTGGGCCCCACCCTCCCCCACTGTGCCCCTACTAAGAAAGAGTTTGTGCTGGGACCTCTCTTGTCGCCTAGGGAATGCAGAGCCCAGAATTTGGGTCTCAGCTGGTTGGGGAGATAAGGACATGTTTTTCCAATATTTCTTTTTGAGACATTTTCATTTGTGGATTCAAATTGTACATACAAGTTTCTTCCAGAAATATAAGAGATCCCAGTGATGAGGACTGTTTGCTTTATCATTGAAGGATGGGAAAGGAAATGGACATTTACTGAGCACCTACTGTATACCAGGCAGCTACCTAAGTGTTGGTCATTCTTGCAATGAATCCCCATTTCAAAGCCTGGAAATCTGATTCTGCAAGGTTGTATTCCCTGTGCTGGTTCCCATAGGTCGGTGGCAGCAGGGCTGGGCTTAAACCCTAGTCCCCAGAGCCTCCGTCTTTCTACCACTGCCTCTCATGGATGGGGAGGCTGTGAACTGGGTGTCAGAGGTGGCCCTTTCCAGTCCAATAGACAAGGAAGCTGCTGGAAGGTACTCATGTGAAGGTCAGCCAGGAAGGAAGCAGCATCGGAACTAGATGGGCCTCGAGCAACTTGCGCATGCCAGCCCTCATCGTCCAGCCAGCTGTGGTCCTCGGGTCTCATCAGGGCCAGCTGCGTGTGACAGGAACATCCGGATGCTGTACAAGCCAGGAGGCACCCATGAAGGAACAGGCAGCCAGCCTTCCCTGAGGTTCAGCCCAACTCATCAGCTAGAGCAGGTACCAAGGGTGTGTTCTGAGGACAGAACAGGCAGGCAACTCCTGTCCATTTTCATGACCAAAGGCTGAACGGAGCTTTGTGACAGTCGGGCCAGAAGAACAGGAGAGAAAACAAGCGGCTTTCAGGCTGGAAAGTCTCACCCAGCCCCTTGCTGAAGGTGCATCGGCTCTCGAAGCAATGACCCTGCCTGAGGCTGTGTGTTTATCAGAGCAGACCCGTCAGCCCTGCAGTGGCCTCTGTGTTTAGAAAAGGGCCTGACATGGTTCTCCAAGAAAGGATTTGACAACAACAACAAAGCACCGCATACGCATTTTCTCGTCTAGTCCTCCTACTGGTCCTGTGAGCAGTGTGAGGCAGAGACTACTCTCTCCTTAGTAAACGGGAAGATGGGCCCAGAGACATGAAGCTGCACACCCAGGGCCACACAGCTATAAACAGTGTCTGTCTCAGCGGTTCTGTCTCCTGCACCCAGTGCTCTGTGCCCCATGGAGGTAGAAAACTGACTGGGGACACCCAGTTGTCCACCGCTGAGCAAGATGCTGCCGTCTCCCTCATCTGTCTTTCAGGGCAGTGCCCTGAGAGAGCTCACTGTTCTTGGCTAGATAAGATACAACCGGTAAATATTTGCCAACTGTATGTCTGACAAAAGGCCTAATATCTAAGTTCTACAAGGAACTCAAATGTGCTGAAAAGAAAAAAACAAACAGCCTCATTACAAAGTGAGCAAAAAGACAAACAGACACTTCTCAAAAGAAGACATACAAGCAGCCAACAGGTACATAAAACAATACTCAGCCTCACTAGTCATCAAAGAAATGCAGATCAAAACCACACTGAGATACCACCTAACTCCAGTCAGGATGGCCATCATCAATAACTCAAAAAACAACAGGTGCTGGAGAGGATACAGGGAAAAAGAACACTTCTACACTATTGGTGGCAGTGTAAACTAGTGCAACCTCTGTGGAAAATTAGTGTAGCTATTCCTAAAAGATCTTAAACTCGACTTTCCATACAACCCGGCAGTCCCCCTACTGGGAACATACCTGGAGGAACTCAAATCACTCTATGAAAAAACCCTGCACGCACATGTTTATTGCAGCATTATTTACAATAGCAAAAACATGGAGCCAACCGTGCTATCCATCAAAAGAGGTCTGGGTTTAAAAATGTGGTACATATACATGATGGAATATTATGCAGCCATAAAGAAGGACAAAATTATGAACTTCGTGGCAATGTGGGTAGACTTAGAGTCTATAATACTGAGTGATCTATCACAGAAACAAAGAACTGAGTAGCACATGTTCTCACTTATAAGCAGAGCTTGAACAATTGCCATAATACTATACAAAAAGGATCGACAATAATGAGAAACTGCCGGGGGGGGCACACCTGATCAACAAGGGTACCTACATAGTGAACATTTGTATACCTAACTCTTCAAAATTAAAAACAAAATTTTTTTAAAGAAACAGCTGACACAAGAACAAATGCAGACCCAAAGAACTGCTCAGAATGTGTATAGAGTTAATAGTTCACAACCAGGCATGGTGACTCATACCCGTAATCCCAGCACTTTGGGAGGTGGAGGCGAGAGGATTGCTAGAGCCAAGGAGTTCAAGAACAACCTGGGCAACTTAGCGAGACTGTGTCTCTACAAAAAAAAAATTTTTTTTAATTAACCTGCGTGGCAGCGTGCACCTGTAGTCCCAGCTACTCTAGAGGCTGAGATGGGAGCATCGCCTGAGCCCAGGAGGTCCAGGCTGTTCCTTAACTCATGGAGTGCTTGATACCGCCACTCACTGCACTCCAGCCTGAGTGACAGAGTGAGACTCCGACTCAAAGAAAACATTTCAGCTCTAGGGTATGACCCATACATGTTTGTCACAGTATGATACGTGCTCATCCCTGACTCCAGGTGACAGCAGATAGGATTTCAGGCTCTGAACTAACAATGGCTGAGTTTATGGAGCACCTCTTGAATGTCAAGCCCTGGACCAGCTGCTAGAGGTAGAGACATGAATAAGATGGTCACTATGACGTGAGAGAATGCTTTGGTTGCAAAGGGCAGAAACCCAGCTTGAATTCGCTTTGGGGAAAGGAGGACTTTCTTTGGCTTATGTAAGCAAAGCATGAGAAAGAAGACCTCAGGGATGACCAGACCAGGCATTCAGATGTCTCCAGGATTCTTTTTTTCTTCTTTCATGCTGACCTTTTTCTGTTTGACTGGCTCCCTCCACTGGACTGGAGACATACCCCAGGCAGCCCTCGGGTCCACGTTTTCAGTTGAAACACTGGAAATAGATTGGCCTTCTCATGTCAGAGAACCTTAGACCATCTGCTCTGTGGGAGAGATGGGACACACAAACACATGGCTGCTCCTATTTGACCCACACAGCTAGAGTCAAAGGAGTGAATGTACCCCAGGTTGGGGTGGAAGAGGGGGACAGACTCTCTCAGCAATCACCATTATCCAGTCCCTGACCTGAGGAGCTTCCTGTCTAGTGGGAAGTGCGGCACAGACAGGTAAGTCTGCAGATGCAGTACCATGCCATCTGCTCCACGGCATGGAGCCCTGAGAGGCAGCCATGGCTCTTGGAAGCCATCCATGTGGGTCTGAACTGGGCTGAGGAGGAAATCAGGAGAGCAGCAGAGGGGAGTGAGGACACAAGAGCGTACCATCACCGAATGACCGAGAGTCATGACGAGTACCTGGGAGGAAGAGCTTTCCAGACAGAAACAGCTACATGAGTGGAAATGCAGAAGAGCATGAGCGCCAGGGAAAGGCAAGTTGCTCAGTCTTATTGGAGGCCAAGGTACAGATGAGAAGGTGACAAGCCCAGGTGTGAAGAACAACAGACTGAAAGTCCTTTGGAAACACGTGGGGAGTTAGGAGCTCAAGAACTCAGAAAGGACTTCTTAGAACAGAATCAAAAAACAACACAGCATACAAGCTGTGAGGGTGGGACAGGAAGTGATGTGGTGGAGAATGTGAACTTGAAAACGTGGCATCTACAACATGATGGGTTTCGGGAGGATCTTCCTTTGGGAAGGGAGAGAAAATCTCAGATTGCCCCAGTCACAAATGAACTTTCTTGTACATATGCAATCTTTTTTTTTTAATTTTTAATTTTAAAGATATGGGGTACAATTCATGGTTAGGTATACAAATGTTCATTATGCAGTTACCCTTGTTGATGATATGTCCCCCCTACCCCAGCAGTTTTCCACTACTGCCAATCCCTTTTTTATAGTATTATAATATTCAAGATCCACTTATGAGTGAGAGCATGTGGTACTCAGTTCTTTGTTTCTGTGATAGATCATTCAGTATTATAGAGTCTAAGTCCATCCAAGTTGCTGTGAAGTTCATAATTTTGTCCTTCTATGTGGCTGTGTAATATTTCATCATGCATATGTACCACATTCTTTTTTATCCAATCCTCTTTCAATGGGCAGCACAGTTAATTCCATTTTTTGCTATTGTGACCAATGCTGCAATAAACATGCATGGGCAGGTATCTTTTTCATAGAGTAATTTGAGTTCCTCCCAGTATATTCCCAGTATGGGGATTGTGGGGTTGTGTGGAAGGTTGATTTTTAGATCTAGGAATCGCCGAAGTGTTTTCCACAGAGATTGTATTAGTTTACACCCCCTTTTCAATGCATCCTCTCTAGCATCTGTTGTTTTTTGAGTTATTGATGATGGTCATCCTGACTGAAGTTAGGTGGTTTTAATTTGCATTTCTTTGACGACTAGTGAGGCTGAGCATTGTTTCATGTGTTTGTTGGCTGCTTGTATGTCTTCTTTTGAGAAGTGTCTATTCATATCTTTTTCCCACTTTGCAATGGGGCTGTTTGTTTTTTTCTTTTCAGCACATTTGAGTTCCTTATAGATCCTAGATGTTGGCAGATATTTTTTCCCAGTCTGTGGGCTGTCTCCCTGCTCTCTTGATGGTTTCTTTGGCTTTGCAGAAGCTTGTCAGTTTGATGAGGCACTTGTCTATCTTAATTCTTATGGCATGGGCACTTGGGGTTTTGATCAGGAATTGGTTGCCAGCTCCAATTTCCATAAGGGTGTGTCCTGCATTTTCTAAGGTTCTTATAGTTTAAGGTCTTGTTTTAATCTTCTGCATGTGGTCAGCTAGTTTTTCCAGTACCATTTACTGAATAGGTTCTCCTCTCCCCAGTGGTTGGTGGTGAAGGCTTTGTCAAAGATGAGTTGGTTGAGAAGTTGGGCTTTGCTTCCAGAATCTCTATCCTGTTACATTGTTCTATATACATGTTCTTGTACCAATACCAGGCTGTTTTGATTATTGTAGCTTTATAATGAAGTTTAAAGTCTGGGAGTGTGATACCTCCTGGTTTGTATTTTTTTTTTTTTTTTTGAGTTGGAGTCTCACTCTGTCACCCAGACTGGAGTGCAGTGGCCGCTCCCGGCCACCGCAACCTGGACCTGCTGGGCTCCGGTGATCCTTCCGCCTCAGCCTTCCAAGTAGCTGGAATTACAGGCATGCACTACCACGCCCAGCTGATTTTTTGATTTATTGTAGAGATGAGGTCTCGCTGCCCAGGCGGGTCTCGAACCCCTGGGCTCAGGCAATCCACTCACCCGGTTTGTATTTTTTGCTGAGGATTGTTTTGGCTATTCATGGTCGTTTATGCTTCCATCCGAATTCCTGTATTTTCATTTTCAGATCTGAGAAGAATGCTGCTACTAATTTATTGAGCATTGCATTAAATCTGTAGATTGCCTTGTGTAGAATGGACATCTTAACAATGTTGATTTTTCCAATCTATGAGCATGGAATCTTTTTCCATTTGTTTGTGTCATCTTTGATTTCTTTGAGCAGTGTTTTATAGTTTTTGTTGTAAAGGTTTTTCATATCTCTGGTTAGGACAATGCCAAGGTATTTCATTTTTTTGTGGCTACTGTGAATGGGATTGTGCTTTTTATTTGGG